AAACTTATGACTGGTTAGGATTCATTATTTTAAGATTAAGATTCGTATTTCTGTGTTTATAGTCAAATGGGTGAGTGAGTGAGTGAGTGTAAGTGTGAACCACCAGGTGGTTTTCATGTAGTTAGTTGACGGGGTGTATCAGAGAGATAAGATGTTTTCTAACGGTAGTTATGAAGGTGATGAATGAGTCTGCAGTTCTAGAGTTTTCAGGTAGGGTGTTCCAGATTTTAGGGCCTTTGACATACATTGAATTTTTGTAAAGGATTAGTCGGACACGGGGAATGTCATAGAGAAGTTTGTATCTGGTGTTATGCCTGTGGGTCCTGTCACAACTATCAAGAAAGCGTTTTAGGTCAAGGTTAATATTGGAATTTAAGGTTTTGTAGATGTAGATTGCACAGTAGTAAGTGTGGATGTTCTGAACAGGGAGTAAGTTTAGATCTATGAAGAGTGGGGGGAGGGTGTTGCCAGGGATGGGATTTAGTGATTATTCTTACTGCGGCTTTTTTGTTGGGTTATTATTGGCTTTAGGTGTGTTGCTGCAGTTGATCCCCAAGCACAAATAGCATAGGTGAGGTATGGATAAATGAGTAAATGGTATAGTGTGAGAAGGGCATTTTTCGGCACGTAGTATCGTATATTGGAGAGGATCCCCACCGTTTTGGATACTTTTTTTGTTATGTGTTGGATATGGGTGCTGAAATTCAGGTTGTTGTCGAGGTATAGGCCTAGGAATTTGCCCTCCTTATGTCTAGCAATTAGAGTGTTGTCGATCTTCATGTTAAGTTGCGCAACACCTGTTCTGCTACCAAACATAATATAGTAGGTTTTGTCAGTGTTAAGTGTAAGTTTATTGGCTGTCATCCAAGTCGATATTTTGAGCAGCTCCTCGTTAACAATGGTGTTGAGGGTGGCAAGATTAGGGTGAGAGATGACATAAGTCGTGTCGTCAGCAAAGAGAATGGGTTTCAGATGTTGGGATACGTTTGGAAGATCATTGATGTAAATGAGGAAGAGCAGGGGACCAAGGACACTTCCCTGCGGAACTCCAGTATCAAGTGGCCGTGTTGATGATGCTGTGTCTTTAATGGTGACATACTGATACCTATTAGTAAGGTAGGATTTGAAATATGCAAGCGCATGGCCTCTTATACCATAATGGTCAAATTTGTGGAGTAGGATGCCGTGGTCTACTGTGTCAAAAGCTTGTCTTAGGTCAGTAAAAATTCCTAGCTTGTCAATAAAGCTAGGGATCCTAACCTTGTCAAACCCTGTGTAAAAAAAAAAAGAAAAAAAAAACGTATCAATGACAATACACTCAGATTACAACGTAATAGAGGTACAGACATGTATGCATAGGGCTCCTGACCAGCAAAATGTGATCAGTCATGAAGGTCTCTTCACAAAATTCAATTTTAATAACTAAAGCATACAATACAGATTAAGTCAACCATGTCCTAAATAAAACAAGCTGGGAAGATATCCTAAACAACACGAATCCGAACATTTGCCTAGAAAAAATGAACTCTGTAGTTCTTGAGACCTGCTCAAGACATATTCCGTTAAGAAAAAGAAAGAGAAGATGTAAACTAGAAAAAGAGACGCTCCCTATACAGACGAAGGTGAAGAGTCAGGGAGCTGCTGAGAGGGGCCAATGTATCTGAAATACGAAGGGAGGCACTGGTCAGTAAAATTGAAAATATCGAACTTAAGCTGAAGGAATCTTACAGGAGACAAGAATCACAGGAAGAACTAAAAGCCATAAAGGAAATAGAAAAAAAAAATACTTCTTCTCTTATGCCAACTCTAAAGGGGGAAAAATCCAGTATTGGGCCCCTGCCTAGGCGGGATGGGACATACACAGATGACAGCCAAGAAATAAGTGAAATATTAAAGTCCCAAGACGACTCAGTGTTCAGCGAGCCCTGCCCAGACTAAGGATCGACAATCCAAATGAATTCTTTACGAACGAAACCCAAAATTTGGTCATCTCAAAAATCTCGGATATTATCCAGACTCCACAAGACTCTGAAAAGGCAATAAATGACATGCCCATGCACTCTGCCCAGGCCCAGACTCGTGGAACTCTGTTCATCAAGAATTGCAAGAAGCCCCTATTGCGTGCCTTCAGCATTCTATGGAGAAGGAGCATGGACACAGGGGTCATCCCACACACACTAAAAACAACAAACATAGCCCCACTCCACAAAGGTGGCAGTGAAAGCAATTGCAAAGAACTACAGACCGATAGCACTAGCATCCCATATCATAAAAATATTTGAGAGGGTTCTAAGAAGTAAGATCGCCAACCACCTAGATACCCATCAGTTACACAACCCAGGGCAACTCGGGTTTAGAGCAGGTCGCTCCTGCCTGTCTTAGCTACTGGACCACTATGACAAGGTCCTGGATGCTGTAGAGGATAAGCAAAATACAGATGTAGTATACACAGATTTTGCAAAAGCTTTCGACAAATGTGACCATGTGCTAATAGCACACAAAATGCGTGATACAGGAATAACAGGAAAAGTTGGTAGATGGATCTATAATTTCCTTACAAATAGAACACAAAGAGTAATAGTAAACAGAGTAAAGTCCCAGGTAGTCATGGTGAAAAGCTCTGTTCCACAAGGCACAGTACTCACTCCCATTCTATTCCTCATCCTCATTTCGGACATAGACAGAGATGTAAACTATAGGTCCTTGTCTTACTTTGTGAATGATACCCGGATTGCCATGGCAGTGACCTCAATCGACGACACCGCAAGACTCCAAGCGGACATCATCCAAGTCTTCAAATGGGCCACTCAAAACAATATGAAGTTCAATGAGGACAAATTTCAACTATTCAGATATGGAAAACTTGAGGAAATTAAAAATGTATCAGGGTATACAACAAATTCTAACCATACAATAGAACAAAAAAGAAATGCGAAGGACCTGGGAGTGATAATGTCAGAGGATCTTGCCTTCAAAGACCACAACAATGTATCTACCTCATTTGCTAGGAAATTGATAGGATGGATAATGAGAACCTTCAAAACTAGGGACGCCAAGCCCATGATGATTCTCTTCAAATCGCTTGTTCTCTCTAGGCTGGAATACTGCTGTTCACTAACGGCCCCTTTCAAGGCTGGAGACATTGCAGACCTGGAGAGCGTACAAAGAACTTTCATGGCACACATAAGTACGATAAGGCACGTAAATTACTGGGAACAGTTGAAGGTCCTTGATCTGTATTCCCTGGAACGCAGGCGAGAGAGATACATGATAATATACAGTTGGAAGGTCCTGGAGGGATTGGTACCAAACCTACACACGAAAATCACTCCCTGTGAAAGCAAAAGACTCGGCAGGAGATGTAACATTCCCCGATGAAAAGCAGGGCGCCACGAGCATACTGAGAGACAACACAGTAAGTGTCTCTGGCCCAAGACTGTTCAGTTGCCTTCCAGCATACATAAGAGGGATTACCAATAGACCCCTGGCTGTCTTCAAGAAGGCACTGGACAGGCACCTAAAGTCAGTACCTGACTAACCGGGCTGTGGTTCGTATGTCAGTTTGCGTGCGGCCAGCAGTAACAGCCTGGTTGATCAGTCCCTGATCCACCATGAGGGCTGGTCTCAGACCAAGCCGCGGGGTCGTTGACCCCTGAAACCCTCTCCAGGCAAACTCCAGGTACTCGGAGAGAAATTAAGTCAAATAAAAATGATCCCAAATAGATAATTTACATTAATGACCTTGTTGAGGGAATTACAAGTGACATTAGCAGATTTGCTGATGATACAAATATAGGCCGAATGATTGATTCTGAGGAGGATACTGTTGAACTCCAGGAGGATTTGGACAAATTAATGTCTTGGCCTGAAAAGCTTTAGTCCTTGGGAATGAAAATAACCCTCGAAGTTATAAATTATGGAATGTAGTGCTTGATCACACACAGTAAGTAACAGGAGTCCAAAAGTTATTTTCCAGCTCTATACATCACTAGTAAGGTCTCACTTGGATTATGCCAAGTAGACCGATTGAAGCAAAATAAATCCCCTGGCCCTGATGAGCTTTTTTTCAAGGGTTCTTTTGGAGTGTAAAATGGAACTTTGTAAACCATTGACTAATAGAAGAAAACACATATATATATAGTGGCGGGAGTCAGGTGAGGTGATGTGTGGGTAGAGGTGGTAGTAGTAGTAGTAGTAGTAGTAATGGAACTAAGGAGGTGAGGCTAGAGAGGGACCTGCTGGCATCAAGTAACACCAGTTCCCAGGATGGGTAATATCCTCTTGCTTAGTAATTTTGAAATACTGTAACTACCGGATTTTTGCTTTATAGTGTTACTGACAGAAATTAGTGCAGCTTCAATGTAATTCAATGAAGCTAAACTAGTTATTAAAGAAGACGACTTAAGACGGAGAAAATGCATTGAAGCTGCACTAATTTCTGTCAGTAACACTATAAAGCAAAAATCCGGTAGTTACAGTATTTCAAAATTACTAAGCAAGAGGATATTACCCATCCTGGGAACTGGTGTTACTTGATGCCAGCAGGTCCCTCTCTAGCCTCACCTCCTTAGTTCCATTACTACTACTACAACTACTACTACTACTACTACTACTACCACCTCTACCCACGCATCACCTCACCTGACTCCCGCCACTATATATATGTGTGTTTTCTTAGTTTTCTCTGTATTAGGACTGAAGAAGCCACTCGTGGCGAAACGTTTCCTTTAATAAATGTCCTGAACTGTACATAAGTGTCTTTTTCCACATCTTGTCGGTATCACCATACCATTCCCCCTTCTAACATTGTTGGTAATTCTACCAACATTATTAGGATATTATGGTTCTGTACATAAGTGTCTTTTTCCACATCTTGTCGGTATCACCATACCATTCCCCCTTCTAACATTGTTGGTAATTCTACCAACATTATTAGGATATTATGGTTCTGGTTATCCTGGTTAATCTCAATGCAATAATGAATTAAAATATACAAAATAAATTAGGCATTTTTATTATTTTACAGAGTATCTCAAACATGAAGGCGTAGGTGTTGTCTTCTGATTCTGAGATATTTTGTGGTATTATATTTAAATGTTTGGAAAAAACATAGATGGTGTCTTAGTTTTCAAATAAGTTTGCACATATTTTCAGTCGTTTTCTGTTGGAATGTCAGGGATAATGCGTGGCAGTTATCCCACCGTGAAACTAACGGTGCCGTGATCAGTTCTACCCTTGAGGTGACCAAGTGCTTGTTGCTGGGCATCCCTGGAGTCACTGCAGTCACCGGTGGCCACGTAATGCCAGCTCCAGGCTCCCTGTGTATAACATGTTCAATTATTATTCACAGATAACATGTAAGGTGCAACAATAAAACGCCCTAAAGTATAATATATCACTAACATCGCAAGTGAAAAACCATGGTTAGTAGTGTGCATAAGAGGCTGTACATAGCGCAGTTAATGATAGCCGATTTTATTTTCATTAGGCATTATGTAAAATTTGTCATCCCTATGATACTTCAAAATTGTAAAAGAATCTAAATCACCAAACGTAGTTTGTCGTTTAATAATGATCCATGTTAACCTCATAATATTGTAAATATTCGGGTAAGAAATTTTAATGTGATTATTTCGTACTACCGCGTTAAAATTCTGGCGGTTGCATCTATGATCTTTTGGTATCAAATATATTTAACTGAGGAAACTTATTTTATTGTTATATCTTATGAGTAGTAAATTCTTGAAATTAACTTAAAAAAAAAAAACTGTGGTAATACTAATTTAAGAAAAATATGCCTGGTGGTTAACGCTCTCGCTTCACACGGTGAGGGCCTGGGTTCGATTCCCAGCCAGAGTAGAAACATTGGACGTATTTCTTTCCACCTGTTGTCTATGTTCCCCATCAGTAAAATGGGTACCTGGGTGTTAGTCGACTGGTGTGGGTCGCATCCTGGGACACTGACCTAAGGAGGCCTGGTCACAGACCGGGCCGCGGGGGCGTTGACCCCCGGAACTCTCTCCAGATAAACTCCAGAAACAATTCTTTCATATTTACCATAAGAGAAATTAGAAATAGTTTCCTTCATTAGTGTATAAAATCTTCTTAACCTAGTAACTAATAAGGATTAAATATGGAGTAGTGCAAATAAGAACACACAAGACAATCCTACTCACACTGTAGCCGTGGGTGTAGGCGTACTCGTAGAGGTCTGGCAGGGAGGTGCCGGCAGCACACACAGACGCAAACTCACCAATTACTATGGGCTTGTTCAAATTATAGTCAGACGCAGAGACCTGTGAGAGTGAGAATGTATTTGACCTTCAGAGGCTACTCTTGTAAGGTCATAATAATAATGATAATAATTCATCAACTAGTCGGTTCAGAAAACCGACCCGTTGATGAATGAGACACTTGTGCAACATTTGGGTATACATTATTGTGAAAATGTTTCGCCAGCCATTGGCTTCCTCAATTCATTACAGAGAAGAATGGTGAAAAATCAGGAGTTTTAGCCAGTCAGCTCCTCAGTCTGGTGTCGATGTGATCAATCCATCAATCTTGTCTGCTTCCAGCTCATTCCCTTAAACGTCAGTATATCACTATGACTAAGAAAGTCAAATATGTGACTGCGGCACTGGAATGAAAACGTGATTGACTATTTGATAGTCATTTTTAACGTGTGCTTGGTAACTTTCTGTTTTCTGTTTGAGATTGATAAGTTTGTATCACGGTATTATTTCATTTATTTGCGTTGTCTGTTAAAATCTAAATCTAGTACTTTATAATGCTTAAATTTTGCTTTTGTTAAACTAAATTACCTTAAACAGATTGTAAAAAATGTGTAATATAAATAAATATCTTTATAATAAGTATTCATTATGAAAAAATGTACTATTAACTTAGCAACTTGCCCTACTCTTGCTCATATTTACACTATATAAAATATCCCAATGACTTTAATCTATCGAAGAATTTACATATTTTTGGTTAGCAGTTTTATTTAGGGTGAGGGGGAGAGAGGAGGTGAACCTTCAGTTGAACCAGAAATACTAATGTTATTATCAGCTTACTAATAGACCTGCTAATGTCAGTTGAGTAATACACAAAAGTGCAACAGTTTTGGTATCTTCATTGACGAATCGTTTTTGCTTGCTCAGCAAGCAGTTGACCCCGCCACCTGGACCAGATTCGTGGAATTCCCTGTTTATAAAAAAATACAAAGTACCACTAGCATGAGCCCTCAGTATTCTCTGGAGAAAGAGCCTAGATCTAGATGAAATACCAGAGACCTTAAAGAGTGCAGACTTAGCTCATTCGCATAAGGGAGGTAGTAGAGGACTAGCTAAATATTACAGACCAGTAGCGCTTCCCACATAATAAAAATCTTCGAAAGAGTGGTGAGATGGCAATTGCAAATTTCAGCTTCTATAGAGCGGGACGATCATGCCTGTCACAGCTGCTGAACCACATTGGCAGAATTACGGAGGCGTTGGAAGACAACCAAAACGCAGATGTGATATACACAGATTTTGCAAAGATGTTTGACAAATGCGATCATGGAGTGATTGTACACAAAACGAGGGACATAGGTATTACGGGGAAGGTAGGCAGTGAATTTTTAGGTTCCTAACACACACAACACAAAAAGTAGTAGTAAACAGAATAAAATCCAGCATCAGCGAGGTAAAAAGCTCAGTTCCCCAAGGCACTGACCTGGGACCTCTGCTATTTCTTATCCTCATAGCAGACATAGATAAAAACATCCGCCACGGCTTTGTATCATATGCAGATGACACTAGAATAAGCATGAAAGTCACTTCGGTAGAAGACACTGAAAAATTGCAGGAAGATATAAGCAGGATTTTCCAGTGGGCAGTGGAGAACAACATGACGTTCAGTAGTGATAAGTTCCAGCTGCTTAGGTATGGAAAGAATGAAGAACTCAAAAGGAACATTGTATACAAAACTCAAGAGAATCATCAAGTAGATCGAAGGGAACACGCAAAAAGACTTTGGAATAATTATGTCGGTTGACCTTTCTTTCAAAGAACATAATAAGACAAAGGTAACGAGGAGGATGACGGGAATGAGAACCTTCAAAACGAGAGGAAATAATGCCAGTGGTGACACTTTTTAAATCGATCATGCTCCCTCATTTGGAATATTGCTGTGTTGACGGCCTCACTCAGGGCAGGAGAAATATCAGAGATGGAACAAATATAGAGATCGTTTATTGCCCGCATAGAGCCATGAGAGCATTTAAATAATTGGAAAATGCCTTAAAGTCTTAAATATGTACTCACTGCAGCGGACGAGAAAGATACATGATAATACATATCTGAAATGTAGTTGAGGGCCTTGTCCCCAAATCTCCACACTGCCGTAACAACACTGGAGCGAGAGATATGGGAGGAAGTGCAAGGTAAACCTAGTGAAAAGCAGGGGTGCTGTGAACACAATGAGGGAACACAGTATCAACATTCATGGCCCCGGATTATTCAACATCTTACCAGAAGATATCAGAAACACTGCTGGGACAAATGTAGAAGTCTTCAAGAGGAAACTGTACAAGTATCTTCACCAGGTGTCAGGTCAACCAGGCTGTGATGGATATGTGGTGCTGAGGGCCATCAACAGCAACAGCCTGATTGATTAGGCAAGCATCAAACGAACCTGGCCCTTGGCCGGGTTCCAGGAGTAGAAAAGCTCTCGGAATTCGTCAATGGCGTCATCTCCATTCTTCACCTCACTTCTGGTTTCAGTATAAAATGCGCAATTTTCATGCTTCAGCTTCATGTTAATCGACACCATGGAGCCGGATACTTCTCAAGGCTGAGGGACTGACAACCTCAGTACTGCTACGTCAAGGCTGATGGACTGATCACATAGTATTTACCTCTTCACTTCTGCCTCCAGTTTTATTCACCTGAAGAAGCCTACCGTGTAGGCGAAATGTTTCGGAAATACAGGTACCTAAGTGTTGCGCTTTTATCATACTCATCAGACTTCCTTTCACTTTGATGTAGTATCATCAGTTTTGAATACCAGAAGGTTACCGTTCCACGGACGTTTCCTAATAAAAATAAATTCTATTACTTAAAAGCTAAAAGTATGACACAAGCAAAAAGACTTACAGTGAAGGGAGCGCCGGGACTCCAGGAGCCACTCCAGTCATAAGTATGCATTTGGTAGTAGTCAAGTTGAGAGTTGGAGCCAGCCGCACCATTGAGGCAGGAGTCAGTGTAGTGGTTGTGAGAATTAGAGAAGGCGTCATTCTGAGCGAATTGACCTGCAAAAGCGTTTACATTCACTTGTGTTATCCAACAGTTTAAAGTTATAACATGTTTCATTATCTCCTTGACATTCAAATTTAAACGAAGAAAATGGGAGTTGAACAGTAGTACTCTGGAAAGACTCCTGAAGCGCTACATTCTAACGTTAGTTATGCAAATTCATTTATTGGCGGAGTGAAAAATTTTAAATAAGAGAAAGACACAATACCGTGACTGGAACAATATAGAAATAACCCACACATACGTAGGAGAGAGGACCATTTACAAAGTCACACTGTTACTTTGTAAATGGTCCAAGTCGGACCGAAACGCCGTCGTAAGCTCCTTTTTCCTATGTGCGGTTTTTTTATTTTTTTTTTTGTGAAATTTTTTATATTTACGGTACTACTTCTATTTACTGAAAAAATATATTTAATATATCCTTAAATTGGAAACAGGATAAAGATTATTATTAATTTAATTCTCCGTCAGACTCTTAACCAAGTTTCCTTATAAAAAATTTTTAAGTAACTTTAAATTTTGTACCTCCTTTAATATTTAATCTTAATTTATTTAATTTCTCGATTACACAAAATGAACGTAGTATACATGTGAAACGATCAACTAAGATATAGTAAGTCAGACGGAAGTCAACTCCCGACAGGAAGCCTACCCCAAGAGCCAATGGTGGTGAGAGTGCTAGAGTCGATCGCACGGACGGCCTGGTTCAGTCGACCAATGAAATGCAGCCAGCTGCAGTGGAGAAAGCATATGTGATCAGATTTCTTTCTGATGTTCCTCAGTGCACATCAGACACAGATACACACCTAAATAACAAGAGCAACACTGAATATGCATCACAAATATGGAACTTACACCTATCAAACATTCAAGGAAAGTCCTGACATTGGCGAAAGTCTCTCGATGAAAGAAATTTGGGGTTACCCTGCCTTTCATCGAATTAAACACAATTATCCATACTTTTCATACTCCAGACGTGTGACCCAAACGGATTTAGCCCTCCCCTGTGAATGTAATAATCACTAGTCTCTCAAATGTTCACTCTCATTTAAACAATTCCCAGCCTCGTATGGGAGTATATTCTCTTAAAAAACTGCATACAACGAAGTGACAAAGTTCATAAAGCCATCCCAGAAATGATACCAAAGCTTTGAAATAAAAGCTACGAGAAAAAATTGAAGGAGCTGAAGAGCCATCTAGGTGTTATATAGAACCTTGAAAGTACTGAAGTGGTTTAAGTGGAATGAACTATAGAACAGTAACAAGTGTGGATACACAGGTATTTTTTATAATGTCTCCGTGCATATCAAGTTTACCTGTATCTCTGTTTTAGAGATTAGAATAACCTTGACCGGTGATGTACAGATAATGTGCCTTAGTGACCCATATTCAAACATAGGCTCTAAACCTTATAAACCAGAACGGCAAAATCTGAAGCTACTTCATAAACTTAATTTAATCTCTACTATTGACTTGATTACATGTAGCTGCATTTTCAATGACGTTGTCATAGAAATGTTGCAATTATCCCCAGCTTCCCTAAAGAACTCGTTTATCACGTTGTGAGCCAAGTGAAACTCATATTTCCTCCAGTCATCGTAGAGAAATGGTTGATGCTTTATCACTGAAAAAATTATAAGAATGGTTATAATTATGACCATAAGTTTTAAAGGGGTGGGCCGGTAAGCCAGCGGAAGGCCTCGGTCAGATGACCAAAAGCTCCAACGGCGGGTCATCATCTGACTGAGACCCGCGTCAGGAAACGCTTGACAAGTTTCCTGACGATCCTTACCTAACCCTGTATCATTGATGTAGCCTTCACCATTATTATAATGTTTCATAAATATTTTTGTCTAGATATTTCATGCTCAGGCTCCCACTGAAGAGCAGTTTTTTTAGGGAGCATTGGATCAGATTTAAACTGTTAATGCAAAATGTGTCTGGTTACAGAGTACATGTCCACTAAATAATATTGTTTTCCAGTAGATATCTGATAACATTTAAAGATATTTCTTGACACAGTAAATAACATTTTGCACACAAAAAAATGTTTGCCAGATATCACCACGATCTTTACTTACTTCTCCATGGGGATGTTCGTGCCGGTCCAGCCAGCGCCGTCTTGGCCGATAGTGGTGGTGTCGTAACACGCATTGCCGTTGCTTTCCACCTGCGATGAAAGGTATCAATAACGTATATGTGTGGAAGAGCTGTAGAGATTACCCACACAAATTTAGAGTGACCTGTGTATTAGTGAAGAGAATCAAAATATAAGCTTTTGAAAGTGACTAATAACGATATACTCCGAGAGGCGTGCAAAAGTCAGGCTGAGCATGACTTGTTGATTTTTATTTATAGTGGGATGGATCCTTGGCACCATTATGCCAGGAGTTGCTTGCCACAGAGCGGGACATCATATAACTCTCACGTCAGGAGATATTTACCCTGACGAATAAAACACCACCACCAACAAAGACTAAAAGTTTAGTGGCAAAAGGGAGGCGAAGAACAGAAATAAGAGGCATAGCTTAGCGTTGACAAAACAGAGCAAGATTAATAGTAAGGCCTGTGAGAACATCATAGAATCTGTGAACAAGAGGCACAGCTTTGTAGGAAGAGGGATAGTATATGCACAGATTAATCCCACTTTTTTTTTAGTGTTGAAGGTATTCTAGATTGGTGGTTATTATTATAATCATGGGGAGCGTTAAACCCATAGGATTATACAGCGCCTGGGGGGAAGGTATCCAGGCTTAATTCAGGTAACTGGAACACAAATCCAGTTCCCCAGACCAAGAGCCCCTCACCAGCGTCAAGGAACCTTGGAAATATAAACACATATGCAGTATAATGTGATCCTTTATTGACTACGTTTCGCCCACACAGTGGGCTTTTTCAAGTCACAAACAGAACTACCTGGGGTGGAAGGAACGCGAGTATTTATAGTCAGGTTCAGAATGCTGAGGTCAGGTGGAGAATGCATTCTCCACCTGACCTCAGCATTCTGAACCTGACTATAAATACTCGCGTTCCTTCCACCCCAGGTAGCCACAGAACCCACTATGGCGTTGTTTCATACCTGGAATCACGACACAACCTGAAGTTCAAGATATGGTTCAACTTGAGGGGAGAACCAATATTGACTCCTCTCAACAAGGAAATGTATACCACCTTGAAAAGAGTCATGGAGACAGATCGCTCATTCACCCTGGAGGAACTGGACTCTCGGCAGAAAATCACCAAGGGTGTAGTGATGCGATACCCGCTGATGATGCCCATCGAGGCAGTAGCAGCTCACCCCAGTGTGGTGTCAGCTCAACGTCTCAAGGCAAAGACGGCAGGCAACGCACCAACCCGACAGGTCCTCATTCAGCATGTAGGACCACTGCCATCCCAGCTGGACCTCGGTTCTTGGGGCAAGTACGATGTCAGGACCTTCACAGCAGAACCAGTTCGCTGTTTCAAGTGTCAGCGTTATGGACACCTGGGTGCACTCTGTCCGAACAGAGTAATCTGCGGTGTCTGCAGCCAGCACCACCCTACCGAGGAATGCATCACCAAGCTGAAAAATGCATCGCCACCCACTCCACAATGCCCGAACTGCAGGCAGAAACATCATGCCTGGAATCCTCGATGCCCCGAGAGGCTCGCCAGAATTCAAGGAGTCTGGAAGACGCCAAGAACTCGGCAACAGGCTACGACGGATCATCACTCTCAGCAGACGATGGGTGCAGAGAACGCTGCCATACCGCAGATCTCTCAGCAGCTAACCCAAGTCAATGCCCAGGAATTCCCAACCCTCGAAGTCTCAACCAGGCGTCAAGGTCAAGAACCTCCTGCACCACTACCTCAACGAAGAAACAGGAACAGGAGGCGTCAACAGGGTGCATCTGGTCAATGCGATCAGCAGGTGGCACTAAACGAGCCCCCACCGGCCATAGCACAACAACGCAGGCACTCCTTACCCGGCACAGGCGCTTTGCAGACTCAACTGGCACCTCACCAGCAGATCCCGGCTACCCAACAGCAACAGACCACGGTGCATACAATAAAGAAATCCAACCCTCAGCAGTCCCTACAGACCACAACAGCCCAGATAATATCCACTGTTTCGAACCCAACCCCAAATCAGGCTCTCACCAGGGAGGATCTCGTAGCACTCATCAAGGTGTTCACGGATCTTATTTGCAACACAATCAACTCCACGGAACAACAGAGCACATTCCGGCAGATGGTCAATACGCTCCTGAGAGTGTGCTTGCTGACCGAGGAGGAGACAGTGGATGCCATGAATTTGCAGGTTCTCAGAGCGGGCAGGACTCAGTCTCCAGCTCAGGAAACAACAGCGACGGAATAACCTCGGTACCAAATCACACCCTCAAGGTTCTACAATGGAACATTCAGGGCCTAAGGAGCAAACAGCACCTCTTGCTGGAGGCAGTAATTCGGGATCGGGTTGACATCGTCTTGCTACAAGAAACTCTGACTGTCCCGACTATGTGCCCAAGACTACCGGTTTTGCTGGGTATTTTCGGCACATGGACCCGGGCGTTCACTGCAGAGGCACAGCTGTATTTGTATCCAATACAATACCTCACGAGGTTATAGCCAACCCTTTGGACTGTGGGGAGGATGTCGAGGTACAGGCCATCCTTGTGCACATACCTGGGGCGCCCATTACCATCTATAACATCTACAAGAACCCAAGACACACCCTCGACATTGCAGAGCTCCTCGCACTAGCACGCACTGAGTGTATTATTGTTGGTGGAGATTTCAACGCACATCACCCAATCCTGCACTCTCACTCAGCAACCAATGCTGATGGCAGACACATAGCAATGCTCCTACACGATATTCCAGAGGTAAAGTTGCTAAACAATGGAGACCCCACACACCTGTTGGGTGGCTGCCTCGACCTTACCTTTGGGTCAAGACAACTCGCAGCAGGAGCCACATGGGAAACTCATCCTCACCTTGTCAGTGACCACTTTGCAGTTATCACCACCTTCAACATCAACAGGCCTCCCACAGTTGTGCTGCCTCCTAGATGGGACGTAAAGAGGGCCAAATGGAAGGTGTTCCAGGATTATCTTCATGACTGGTGGTCCACATACTCTCTATCTGAAGACTGTGATACGGCTGAACAGGAGCTCATCACTGTTCTCATCCAGGCAGCAGAGTGCGCAATTCCAAAGAAGTCCGCACGACGCAATCACAAAAGAGACTGGTGGTTCTACAACGACGAGGTGCGGGAGCAGAACCACCGCATCAACTCTTTTAGGAAGCTATACAGGCGTAACCCTACAGCAGAGAACAGGAATACTCTGAGAGCCATTGTGCAGCATGCCCGTAGAATCTCTCAGAGTAAAAACTGAGAAATGGCTGGAGTGGTGCTCAACATTCGGGCATCACACCACCTTATCTGAGATATGGGGCAAGCTCAACATAGCAACTGGCAAGAGCAAGCCGAGGCCACCAGCACACCCGAACCCATCCCAGGAAGCAGAGAAACTAGTGGAGCTTTTCACTTCCAGGGGAGCCTCCACTCAGCTCCCACAGGACATCCGGAATATACAGACGGATCTTCTGCCACAGCGCCAGCTAACGATACAAGCTGCATGTGAATCGGAAGATGTGACTGATGAAGACCTCACGGACTTGGAAACTCCGACGTGCCATTAAGAACACAGGTGACACTGCCCTGGGCATCGATGGTGTGACGTACTCCATGATTGCACGGGCTGGGCAGAGTGGATGGGAAGCCATACTAGACGTCATTAACAAGTCGTGGAGGGCCAGGACACTCCCCAGCAGCTTGGAAAGAAAGCTACAATCGTACCAATTCCAAAGCCCAAGGACCCAGGCAGTATGAGACCCATATCGCTGACCAGCTGCTTAGGCAAGACTGCTGAGAGGATGGTGTTAAACCGCCTCCTATGGAAACTTGGACCCTCTCATCATCACTTATTTGGCTTCACCAAAGGAGTGGGAACAGCAGAGTGCAAAACCACTCTACTAAGCCAGATTGCTGATAGCAACAAAAAGCCTAGTATCGTCGTTTACCTCGACCTTGAGAAGGCATTTGAGCTAGCCAGCCCCACAGCAATTCTGGCAATACTAGCTCGGAAGGGAATCAGAGGACGCCTCCTGGCCTGGATAGAGTCCTACCTTAGGGGCAGGCAGGCCTGTGTCAGCTTTCAGGGACACTACTCTTCCTTTAAAACCCTGGAAAACGGTACGCCACAAGGAGGTGTGCTCAGTCCTACCCTGTTTAACATCCTTATGAAGGAACTTGTGAGCCTTCCCTTTCATAGTGGTACACAGCTCCTCAGCTATGCTGATGATCTTGCACTCGTAATGAATGGGAAAGGCAATTTAGAACGACAGGCTCAGAGAGCTTTGGACCTAATTACACAGTCTTGCAAGGAACTAGGCCTCAAGATCTCGGCCAAGAAATCTCTTGCAATGATGTTCAAGGGACCAGATCCTGTGAATAGATTACGTATTCAGGATATAGAACTTGAGTGGACAGGCTCCTACCTGTACTTGGGAATCTACATTGATAAAAAGCTGACCTTTCAGAAACAGGCCGAGTATGTCATGTCACGTGCTCTACCCAGACTCAACGCCATGAGAGCCATGACGAGGCACCGTGCAGGGGCAAGCAAAGATGTACTTCGCTTGTACTATATACAAGCTATACGCTCGCTCATTGACTATGGTGCACCGGCGTTAGCTCATCTCTTCCCGCAGAGCAGGCAAAGGGTGGAGGTCGTACAAAACCAGGCGATAAGAACTATGCATGGTGCCCCTATCTGGACCAACACAGTATGTCTCAGATCTGAGGCCCGGCTTCCTTCCTTGGCTGACAGAGTAAGATACATAAACGCCTGCAAAGTGGCCACGATTCTGCACCGGCAGCAAGGTACCCCACTAAGGAGACGGATATTAACAACCATGTCACAAGATCCCACACTCTTCACGGACTACTCCTGGATTCGTTCGTTTTGTGCTGCTGGGCGGAAGCTGCTGCCTGTTCAGCTGCTCTGTGAGAAGAGTTGTGACCTTCCTGTTGCTGGGTACCATCCACCACCTCCCTGGCGTCCAGATCCAGCCGATGTTTTCATCATGCAGCTACCCGTCTCTAAGTGTCTCTGCAGTCAAGACACACTCAGCAATCATGCTGAGACAAGCATGGCACTGGCAGAGGGAGGCACATGTGCAGTGTATTTCACAGATGGTTCTGTCGACCCTGACAGGAAGAGAGCAGCAGCTGGACTACCACAATGGTCACACACAAGGCTGGCGACTCCCTGACCACTGCACGACCCTTCAAGCTGAGCTGGTGGCGATTCAGCAGGCATTGTCACATGCCCTACGACATCGACTCCGACCTGTCATACATGTTGATTCCACCTCTGCAATCAATGCCCTCTCCCATCCTCAACCACAGGATAATGTTCACCTCATCACATCGATCCTGAGCATAATGACAGCCTTAGAAGTTCAGGGTAATAGATCGACATTGAACTGGATCCCCAGCCATGCTGGCATCCGGGGAAATGAGGCGGCAGATGATGCAGCCAAGGCAGCAACAGACTATCCACATGTTGAGATTACTGTCCCAATCAGCCTACGACAGACCAAACTGGTGGCTGCCAGAGCCACGAAACTTATGGGGGAGGTCTTAGGTGATACCCCATCTCAACAGTGGTACCGAGCAGCGACTCAGGGAGAACCCCCTCCATATGATAGAAGCTGGTCTAGAGCGCAGTGTACCGCCATCCATCGGCTTCGTTTGGGCTTTCCCACAGCCAAGATGATGGTAGACAAGGCTGAGGAGGAGATGTGCCAGTACTGTCAGCACGTTGTCCAGCGGCCCCTAACACACTATCTTCTAGAGTGTGAAGCTACTGAGACACTCCGCAGGCAACTAGGGGTGATATTCCCTCCCGAAGAGGACCCAGAGATGACTGCGGCCACACTAGTGTACCATGGGGTCAACGAACCAGACAAGCTGTTACCTGTGATAATGACATATCCTCCTCCTCGCTAGTGTCCATAGTTACATATGGTGTCGCTTATGAGATGCACCAGTTGAACTGACCAGAGGGGCGCTTGAGCGGCATGCGTCGCATCATTGTGGAAACCTTTCTCCATCAGGAGCCAGAGACGGGTCATCGCAAGATTGGGACCCGTGCCAGGACTATGGTCTTGGCGAACATTATACATACATACACCCCAGGTAGTTCTGTTTGTGACTTGAGAAAGCCCACTGTGTGGGCGAAACGTAGTCAATAAAGGATCACATTATACTGCATATGTGTTTATATTTCCATTGTGTCGGTATTTTATACCATTTATTTCCGTCAAGGAACCTTCCTTGAGGGCTAGATTGGTGGTGCACAACTGGTGTGCAGCCTTAATGACCCTAGTGCGGTCGACGGGCTTGCAGCCTAACACACCAACCAAATCACTGTACACTAGACAGTTTGATCTTTAAAATAGCTTTCTATGCTCTTTTATTGCTGGAAGATTTATTTTCATCATTATTCGACCTGTTAATAAAAATTACTTAAGTTTCATTAGATTAGGCTGATTTTAAAATACATTATTAAGTAACATCTTAAAATTTACATTTTATGAGAAAAAATCTACCTATCATCTACATGCACAGCCTCTTTTACGAACTGATAAACATTTTTTTGTGAGGTTACTGATAATGTTTTTCCTAAGAAAACATTCGAGACAGTTCAAATCTTGAAACTGAAGTAATATACAAGACAAAATTTTCGTGAAGTGTTAGGCGATTATCCAAAAATAGTAAAATGAAACTGAAGGCAAGTAGAGGCACTTCAGATTTCGTAAAATAATTTTTGTTATGCAATCATAAAACACTGGAAATACATTATCTTTCAATAAGTAAAAATATATTAAAAAATGGTTGATTAAATAATTTTAAAGTATCAATTTCGATTATTCACAATGCCAACTTTCAGATGTTTTATTTACAAAATATATCGAATTAATGATAACTGGTAAATGGTCTTGTAACTCTTATTACTTTTGAAATTAGTAGTATTAAGCTAATTCTAATGTTTTCTTGAATCTAACATAGTGACGCCAGGAAAAGTTTTGCAGTAGTCATACTAGTTATCATAGTGGGGGGTCTCGTTAGTAAGAATAAGTTCAACATTTATCCATTTTTGTAATATTACAATTCACGTTTTTTTATGACATGAAAACGTATCCGTGCTGACAATGTAAGCCAGAGGGATGAATACACATATATAAGAGACCTCCACTATTTTATCCAGATAACCTTTGTAAAGAGAGGAAGGTCTTTTATTCTATGTAATATGTCATTTTATGTATCCCATGTCATAACTATCTACCATACGTTAGTACTCACCCGCACTGAACCTTCAGGTTCGTTGACAGCCTCGAAGGATGCCAGAGCAGGGTGCCCCTTGATTGTATTTATCAGAGACTGAAATAAAAGAATACTTAGAATGTGAAACTAATATATTTTATTATCTACCTCCTATGACGCACATTTTCTGTCAATTTGAAAATCATGATACTATGATACAATCAAGAAACCACTGAAACGCAAACCATTGTCACCATAGCCAGAGTCATTTTGGTAGAGATTAAACAAGGACTGGGAAAGACTACTTAGTTATCAGAAGAGGAACTCTGCATGAATTTAACTGCCTGCCCTTGTTTGTTATATATATTATATATTATATAAATATATAATATATATATATATATGATATATATATATTTAATATATATTATATAATATATAATATAATATATTATATATATATATATATATTATATATATAATATATATAGTATAATATATATAATATATATATATTTATATATATATATATATATATCTATATTGTATGTATGTATGTATGTATATTGTATGTATATTGTATGTATAATATGTATGTATATATTATGTATATATTAAGTATATATGTATGTATGTATAAGGATGTATGCATTTTATATATATATGTATATTTGTATGTATATATATATGTATATGTATATATGTATATTTATGTTATATGTATATATGTTATATATTGTCATAAATGTTATTTCTGTATGTATATTTGTAATTATAGTATGTATGTATATATATATGTATATTATATATGTATATATGTAAATATATGTATATATGAATAATTATATATGTATATATGTGTATGTATATAGTTATATATATATGTATATATATTTATGTATTTATATATGTATATATATATGTATATATGTATTTATATATGTATATATATATGTTTATATGTATATATAGATTGTATATCTGTATATATATATGTTATAATTGTTGTTTATATGTATATTATATATGTATATATGTATGTATTATATGTATATATATGTATGTATATATGTATATATATGTATATATATTATGTATATTATGTATGATGTATATATGTATGTA